ACTCCAGGACCGTGTCCGTGTGTGTGTCCGTGTCCGTGTGTGTGTCCATGTCCGTGTGTGTGTGTGTGTGTGTGTGTGTGTGTGTTGGGGGAAGCGGACATCCAGTGTGGAGAAGATTAACATCCTGCTGTATGGGTGGATTCTGCAGCCCAGGAAGATTTCTTAATTTTTGCATTTAACTTTGTCTTGTGCGTGGTTGGCTTCATTCTCTCTCCTGGGCTTATTTCCTTCTCTCTACCTCCTCTCCACCTTTTCTCCTTCCTCCTCCCTTCCTTCTTCTAGTTATGATGGAAAGGCAGACAGGTAGATTAGCAATTGTGTTGCTAGTGCCTGTGCCCTGGACTCCCCTAGTTCCTGGCCACTCACTACACACCCCACTGTCCTAAGCCCCCACTGAAATCCCTTAACAACAGGACAGACTCAAATGCAAGGTCTGACAATGTGGGGAGGAGAGAAGCCGGAAAGGGGTCACAGGGTACTGTGCTATGGGGATCCCTTATAACTGCCTCCACCAGACATGCTGTGTACGCTGGGATCTCTCCTCTGCTTAGTCACAAAGCCTTCTCAGCATTAATTAATTAGTTGGTACTGAGGTTTGAGCTGGGGCCATGTTCCAGTGCTTTTTTGCTTTAGCCATTTTTCAGAGAGGGTCTCATACGGTTGTTCATGCCGGCCTTGGGCTATGATCTTTATGATCTTCCTACCTATGCCTCTTGCACAGGTAGGAGATGAACGTTTGAGTTACAATGGCTGGCTTATTTATTGAGATGGAAAACACATATATATTGTCTATATATAGTCTCTCTCTCTATAGACATATATTGTGTGTATACAATATATTAAAATATGCTTATTTGTACATATACATACATACACACACTCATATATATATATATATATATATATATACACATACATACTGTTCATACATACATAGAACTGTTCATTAGACTGGACTGGATCTCTCTGGGCAGATTGCTGCCTGTCCTCCAAACCCAGGTGGCTGTCCCCTGCTTGTGAAGCTTCCTCAGGCAGCTCAGGGCTTAGTCCCAGGCCACTTCATGACAGCCAGGAGACTGGATTGTAATTTATGTGCTTACTGTCTGTTGTCTCCAGAGCCTCTGAGGCCAGCATGGTAATGAATCCATCTCAGTACCCCATCAGATTGTCTGACAAGTATTAGGTTCGGTAAATGTTAGTAAAGTGAATGGCTGCCAGTCCCCTGCCCTGCCTGCTCTAGGCTAAATAGCCCGAAGCATACATCAAGGACAGTTTCCAGGAGATGATAGGAGGGTAGAGGCAATAAAATTTCTTCCATCTGGCTGGAAGCTGTGCCATTTAGGATGCAAAAGCGGTGCCTATTTGTTATTCCTTTCCAAATTCTCCTGATGTCCCTCACTATCCTAGGGTCTGTATAAGATGGCACCACATACACTGGTAGAAACTATCTTGCTTAATGTCACTGGCAGGGAGTAGCTCCCATGACCACCTAACTGTGGAATTTCTGTACCTCAGTGGCACTGTTGCTACATCTCTCCTCTATGCTCTGCACACCTCCTTTGAAAACAGAGTATTTTGAGGAGATGTGGTAAGTTCACTGGCATTCCCAATCCAATCTCGTCTCTGAGGTGGTTGAAAGAGGGTCAGGAGCCCACAAACAAGTCTGAAATATGCCCTGCAGGCCTTGCATCTAAGGCCAATACTAAGGGGCCTCACAACCCACAGAGGACAGGTAGCAGGCACAGGAAGACTTCGCACAGATGACAGATGGGACCCACAGGCCTTTCTGAGACTCCCTGGAAAACAGCCAAGCTGAAATGTAATCAATAAACAAAATTGGCAAATCTGAGAATTTTCAGCAATCATCTATGCCTACTGAGCTAAAAACCATGATGCTAGAAGGCAGAAGGAAACAGCAGGTGGTGGGTCTTTAAAGTAGGAGAAAGGAGGGGCGGAGGAAAGGATGGGTCCATAGCTGCTGGACAGACAGACAGACACACACACACACACACACACACACACATACACACACATATTGGCAAAAAAGGGGAATGTGGGGACTATGACAGACTTTATAAACAGTTAAGTCCACCAACTTCACCCCTTAACTGCCTGTCTGTAAGGTAAATGTCTGCTTCTAATTGGATGCTCACAGAATATGTGTTTATGGACATGCGTGTGAGCAACAGAGCCTGCTGTGATTTCCTAAATGAACACTACAGTGTTCCTCCCTCCCTATCTCTGTTTTTTACACACACACACATACACAAACGCAGGAACACACACATATTCTTTGAAGCAAACACACACACACACACACACACACACACGCTTCTTTCAAGTTCTGGTCAATGCTCTGAATCTGAACAAAACGCATAAAACAAGCTCGATGTCTATGACTCACACTATAATCCTGATTGCTCCAGAGGCTAAGATCTGAGAATTAAGGTTTGAAGCCAGCCTGAGCTTGAGCAGGTAAGACTGTGAGACTCTCATCTCCAACTAAGAACCACAAAAGCTGGAAGTAGATCTGTGGCTCAAGTGGCAGAGTTCTAGACTCAAGCAAAAAAGCTCAGGGATAGCACCTAAGCCCTGAGTTCAAGTCCCAGGACCAACGCGTGCGCGCGCGCGCACGCACACACACACACACACACACACACACACTCTCTCTCTCTCTCTCTGAATAAATAAGTCTCAGTTTCTAACTTTCTAAAGCCAAAGTCCAGTCTGTGGGCCCAGGGTGGCTTGACTGAGGCAATGCAACAATGTGACATAAGAATATAGCCAAATGATGGCTGTCAGATGGCTGTCAGCTGTCAAGGCCTGGAATATTCTTATTTATGCCCACCACTGTGACACTCTAGGCTTGGGCCTGGAGATTATACTGCTTTCTCTTTATGGGGGCCTGGTCTCATGCTCCTTCCCTGTACCATATGCATTCCAGAAAGTCAGCTGTCAACTGTTCAAAGGAATGAGGACTGCCTTTTGTCTCAGGAAATGAACCTAGCATGCAGATGAAGCAGGCCCAGCCCCATGCTCACAGAGCTGTGAAGCTGTCCACGTGGGCAGGTCAGCATGTCTGGAACCTCACTGTAAAAAGTGAACAATGAAGGAAGTCAGGAAGAAGGAAGGAATTGTCGTAATTATTTTGCATCAAATTCTTTCTAGGCAGAGAGATCAGAGGTCACGGCCAAGGCTGGCTGAGCCTGTCTAGCCTGTTCTCATGCCTCTGGCCTGCCTCCTCTGGTGTGGCAGAAAGATCTGCAGGATTTTCCTCAAGTTCCATAGCAGGAAAAAGCTGTCGTTTTCTCTGCAGCATGTTGCATCCCCGAGAATCACTTAGGGAAATAACCAAAAGGTCAACAAAATAAATACCAAGAAATTTTGGGTACTTGAAAGAGGTGGGGTGAGGTCAAGCAGACAAATAAAGAGAAGAGGGGGGTGGAGAATGCAGTCAAAAATTCAGTGCATATCCTATACAATTAAGAAAAATGAGGGAAGGGGGAGGGTGGGGAGAGAAGGGTAAGAATGCTGAAAGTGGGACATTCATCAAGACACACTGTATTCATAAAAGTTGAATGGGAACTCCTTTTTACAACTACTTAAGGATAATAAAAATATTAAAAACAAAAATCTCCTGGAAGGTATGATCTGAGTTCAGATCATGAGATGTTCAGTGACTCTTGAGAAAGGAAATTTATTTTCTTGGAACTTGTGCCAAACCAAACCCATCATATGTGTGCCAAGACATTCCATTTTCTGTTCCCCTCAGTAGCCTATGCTATGTGGGTAAAGACTGCTTTTTTTCAATGCTCCAAAGGGAAGATCTAAGTGATGGCAATGGGTGTGGAGAAACTGGAACCCTGTGCGTGGCTGGTGTGAACATAAAATGCTGCCGTGGCTATCAAAACGTAGGATCCAGCAGTTCCACTTGTAGATTTATTTATATACCCCAAAGAGTCAAAAGCAAGGATTCAGCCAGGTACTGGAACTTCCTAGCTTACAGCATCATTGTTTGCAACAGCCATGATGTGGGGAAGCAAATCAAATGCTGGTTGACAGATGAGTGGGGGTACACACACTCCTGAAGCAGGAAAGAAACTCTAGCATAGGCTACATTAGGCATAACCTAATCGGTGCAATCAGTGATCAGTGTGAAACAGGTCAGGCACAAAGGGACACATTCTGTGTGATTCCACTTATAAGAATCCCTTAAGGAAGTCTGATTTGTAGAGGCAGAAAGTGGAGTAAAGGCTTCCAGGTGCTGTGGGAAGAGAGTATGACGTTTACTGACACTTACTTATAGAGGCTTACTTTTGGATAATTTTTTACAGAAAGCTTTAGAAATGGATAATAGTGATGATAATGATGCAATCTTGAGAATATATACAATGCCACTGATTTGTACCCTTAAACATGGCCAAAATGGCAAACTTCATGTTAATTATAATTTGCCACAATGCAAGAAGGGGTGAGGGGTGATGGACAGGCATCAGTGATTCACACCTGTAATCCTAGCTACTCAAGAGACTGAGATCAGGAAGCCTGCAATTCAAGGCCAGTCCCAGTATCGACACAAATCTCTTCTTAACTAATAGCTGGGTACAGTGGGGGCACACTTGTCACTTCAGTTATGTGTGAGGGTGAGATCTAGGGGATTGTGGTTATAGGTGTGCCCAGAGAGATAAGACCACGAGATTTCATCTCAGTGGAAGAATCTGGTGTGGCGGCACATACCTCTTACCCCAGCTATTATGGTAAGTATAAAATAGGCGACTGCAGTCCAGGCATGAGTATAGGTGAAAAACAAGGCTTATCTCAATAATACCAGTGTAAAAAAAAAAAACAAACCAGGGCTGGAGGCGTGGCTTAGCCAATAGAGTGCTTGCAGGTACAAGTGCCTGAGTTTAAGTACCCAGACCTGCCAAAAGGAAAAAAAAAAAAAAAGGAAAGGCAGTAGGAGGAGAGGAGGAGAAGCCAAGGTGACAAACAAAACTTACAGGATATAGGCAATCACTCCAATGGACCAGCAGTCAACGGCTTTGCTGTAAGGCTTCTGGGCAAGAACTTCAGGAGCTGTAGGATGACAAAGAGACACAGGCCTGACAATGTAGATACCCAAGACTGTAGACAATGATGAGGGTTCTATAGTCTGGAGTTTCTGTGTGCACCATGTCCTATGTGGACTGAACAGCCTATGAGTCTAACAAGTGAACAGATGGCTGGGACCCAGTTCATTGGCTGAGCAAATACTCTATATGCATAAGGGCCTGGGTTCAAGTTCAGTGTCAAACAGCAAGGATAAAGAAGTAATAACAATCACGATAATAAATGACCCATGTTATCAGTTGGCTTTTTTAACTAGAAAAAAAATACAAAGGTAGGTATAGGTAGGGGTGTGTGTGTGTGTGTGTGTGTGTGAAAGGTAGGTATAGGTAGGGGTGTGTGTGTGTGTGTGTGTGTGTGTGTGTGTGTGTGTGTGTCTGTAGATAATTGGCCAGTCTTTAATGGGTGGCTTTCAAATGGCAGTACTGTGCTAACTCAGACTGGCATGAAAAGGGAACAGTGGATAAGTTGGGGCACGGTGTACAGGATTTCACCCCAACTAGACCCACAGCGGTGTTTCTGGCCCTCGTGCAAGGCCTTGTATGGTGCTGTGGGGACAATGCCTCCCTCCCTCTGCTGTCATGGAACTCAGACTCTGTCTAGCATCGGAAATCCTGCTTCAAAGGCTGCTCTGGCTCATTCCCTGAGGCTTGGGGGTGACTGGGAGGTATTTGTCAACTTTCCCATTTCACTGCTAGCTGTGAAGCAGGAAAATTAAATGCTACTTCCTCTCCCCTGTTAGTCTTAAGCCTCTATTCCATGGGCAGTCGGCCCTCCTGGGGCCTTGGCTCACCTAACACCATTCCTGTCCTCCCTGCTCCTGGCTTTGTGGCCACAGCGGGATGTCAAAGGTCCACCCTGTGTCTGGTGCCTTGCAGGGTCTGAAGGTGACGCTCAGTGTGTATTTGTGCACAGGACATATACACAAAACTGTGAGCTGCACTGACAGGCCAAATCTTTCTTTCCCTGTAAACATTTCTGCCTGAGATGTCCTCAGAGCACAGTTTCCAGAACAGTAAAGAGGGAAGAGAATATATTAGCATCACTGGCAAGGCCCAAAGCTACGTATGCACTGAATTATGTGCTTCTATGGGCTTTGGGGGCATTGGATTGCTTACCCAGCATTCTTGGGGTGAAGACTATATCACAAGAGGCATAATTTCCAAATTACAGGTGAGGGGCAGAGGCACTAGTGAGTGAATTAGCTAGCCAAAGTGATCCACACTGGGATTATGAGAGTGTAGCCCCTGGTTTTGGTTTGTTTTTTTGTGTGTTTGTTTTTTTTGTTGTTGTTCAGTCTCATTAATTCTCCTATCTCTGTCTCCCTATGAGTAACTGAGATTACAGGCATGTACCCTTGCCTGGTCCTCAGTTTTGTTTTCTTTCCCCAAGAGTAAACACATGGCCATGCTTTCTTTGCAGCATTCTGCCTCAATGCAGTAGCAAAATAGGTGAGAGAACTAGAACTCACGGGCTGTCACCCACTGGGCACTTGGACAGTTCACGGCACTGATGCTTTTTTCCCTGCTCACCACGTATTTCTCAGACGATCCCTTGGGAACCAGTGGCGGGCAGCATTGCCATAGTAAATGCCTTTCTGATTTAGGAGCTGTGCCCTCTCTCTGGTCTGCTGTGCTGGTCAGATGGGCATGTGGGCACTGCATGAAGTGACTGTGTGTGTCTGAAATCTCCAGGGCCCTGGTCAAGGCTAGACTGAAAGTTCATCAGAGACAGCGAAGGTTCTAAGAGCACCGGTGACCAGGTTCCCTCTCATAGAGTCAACATAGATGTCAATAGTGTGGAGCCATGCTGGTGGCTGGAGGTGCTCCCTGGCCCCTTTCACGGCCCCACAGGGCCACCAGCGGGATGACAGCCAGCCTGGTCCAGCTACTCCGCTGAGCCAGGTATCAGATGGGACAGAGGCACAGGCTGTAAGCCCAAGGCCAAGAGCACAAACTCATGTCACACACGAGGCACCCTATGGTGACACAGGGACGGGACATAGAAGGAAACCGATGACAGCAGCTCTGATAGCTATTTTTACAGGGTCTGAGCCAAGGCTGGGCTGACGGGCCAAGTCACCATGCTCACAGCGTCTCTCGGGGTCCCACTCTCTCCATCCCATGGATTTCCAGTGCCATGCACGGTGGGCGGAGTCTTTTCACATCCGTCTCCACTCCTCAGCTGTCACAATCAGGGATTTACTAGAACCATCTACACAGGCAGAGACCAGCACACCTCAAACGTTTCAGCTTTCTGACAAAGCTACCAACATATCTGGCAGCAGAGGGAGGCAAACAAGTGACTGGTTTATATGTAGCATGGCATGTGAGTGTGACTTTAGAGATTCAGATCCTTGGATTCACAGACTGACTACCATTCGACGATTTTAGTTCTGCAAGTTTGTCAATAGGGAAGTTCATAACATCAAAAGACTTTTGTTAGTCCGGCACTTGCGGCTCACAACTCCTATTATCCTAACTTCGCAGGAGGCTGAGATCAGAGGATCACAGTTTGAAGCTAGTCTGGGTGGAAAAGTCTCTGAGATTACAACTACAACTAATCAGCAAAAAGGTTGGCCTAGAGGCTGGGCTCAAGTGGTAGAGCATCAGCCATGAGTCAGAAAGGTGAGAGAGAGGCTCCGAGTTTAAGCTCCAGAATCAGTAAATACACAACATGTTTGCTTTTTGGATCAGTAGCCTGGCTATGAGGAGGAAAGTTCTAAATGATCAATAAGTAAAATAGCAAGGTAAGAATCTTCTGGGTGGAAATGTATATATTTACCCCAAACTATTCATGTTCTTTTTGGTATTGTGTCTTGCGTGACAACAAAATAAACTTCAAAAAAAAAACACTCTAACAATTGGAAAAAAGCAAAGCATTTGTTTTCTAATGAAGTTCTTAATTGCATTTAGAAACACATGCAGAAGTATAACCTAACAAAAAAAAAACAAAGCAAACTGCCTTAGAAATAACATTCCCACCCACTCCAAATATCTTAAAAGTTGTATAATGGCCCATACGCCTACACTCTAGATTCTAATTTCACTTATAATGTGACTGTGGAAACCAACAATGTTTTGAAACAGGGTTTGGAAAATGTTTCCCAGATCTCTTTCAATGGCTTCTCTTTATCTCACAGACATTCTTGAAAGAAAAAAGAATCTCAGGTAATGAAAACCTTCCTGGCGCTGGTGGTTCACACCTGTAATCCTAGCTACTCAGGAGGCTGAGATCTGAGGATCATGGTTCAAAGCCAGCCTGGGCAAGAAAGTCCATGAGACTCCTATCTCCAATTAACCACCAGAAAACCAGAAGTGGAGCTGTGGCCCACAGTGGTAGAGCACTAGCCGTCAGCAAGAGAGCTCAGAGGCAGTGCCTAGCACTGAGTTCAAACCCCATGACCCATAACAACAACAAAATCCATCACCACCACCACCAACAAAAAACTCTCCTGGCAATGTGAGAGAGAGCTCCAATCACAGAGAAACCCGACGATCTGCAGTGATATTTTCTCTCTTTTGTTCTCTGTGTGCAGCTGGCCTTTGAGAGCCCGCCTCCTCCAACTTCCTTAAGTGGAATTAGCTGTGGTGCCACAGGCATCACTGGAAATGCCACCTGTCACCCACTGACACTTGAGAAACTGCTAAACCTCATTATTATGCTATCAGTCTCATTCCACTTAAGAGTTCTGCTCATTCTAGAAAAAAGAATGACACCATCTACTGTGTACAAGTCAGTGAGGCACAGGGCAGGGTCTGCCGGACCTAGGAACCTACCAGGGCTCTGTAAGCCACGCCCCCTTCAATCACATGCCAGCAATGCTGCCTTAAGATGCTGGAGAATTCATGTTCTCTTCCGAGCATCTGCCGTAGCATGCATGTGACAGATGACCCTCTACAGCCCACAACTTGTAATGAGGAAGGCTTTTGATCAAAATAAAATAAATAGAGCTCTTCATAAGGAGAAGAGTTATTAAAAGGCTCCTGGCTTGCTGGACAGGCCATCAGCCCCAAGGCATGGTCCCCTGACACAATCTAGTGTAGACAGACCCGTATGGGTGGCAGGACGAAGTCCCTGGGGGCTGCCAGCATCCATAGGGAGAGAGAGGGACTGCAATGGAGGTGTTGAAAGGGATAGATGCGAGGTAGACAGCAGGTCTCCCCTTCCTGTTGTTCCCTTGGCTTAGTCAAAGCTTAAATGCTGGTATAGGGATATCTCTGTCTGGACAATATAGAAGGCTGGACATTTGGGTTCCCTAGTCAAAATCTCCCATGGTTCCCAGTGTACCATCTATTTCCCCTACTGTCAGCAATCCTTTTGTCAAATCCAGACTCCTGCTGCTGGGAGCCAGAGATGTGGTTCTAGTCTTTATATGATCAGGATTCAGCCCGCTGTGGTGGGCCGACATGTGCTTATTCAAGCACACCCATGTCACCATGCACGTCATCACTATGAAGAGAGGACGCGTTCCACATGCCACACAACCCAGGCACAAATACACTTAGCTGCCTTGAGTATTTGTGGTTAGCAGATACAAGGAATAAGAGAGAATAAGAAGGAATAAGAGAGAGAGACAGAGGGACAAATGGATTTTGGAGAGCCAACCCTGTCTACTGAGAAAAACGATCACTAAACACCTTTCTATGGGCAAATGACTCCTGATGGGAACTTAGGGGGTACATGTGCCAGTACTGCTCCTAATTCCTGGAACTGGTGTGTCAGGCTACCCTTCTTTTAAAACCTTTCCTCAAAGGGATTTCAGAATTACTAGGTTTAGTGCTAATGGGCTGTTATATGATCTCTTGGAACCTCCTTCCCCCACCAGAACTTGGGTGCTATGAATTCATCTCTCTCTGTGATTCCTGTTGGAAACTAAGATCAGTAAATTGAAGTTTGTCACTATGTGAACCACGCTGCCTCAGCAGAAGGGCCCATAAGGCATTGGAGCAGTCTTTGGATAGAGAGGG